AACCCCAAACCCTAACCCCTAAATAGTAGTTTCCATTTTCTTGTCCAATATCCTTCTATATTCCTATATAACCCCATATAACCCCCAAAAGCCCAAACCGTGCAGCAGATAGCTGGCCTTTGCACTGATGTCCCGGAGTGAGATACGTGGAGTTCTTGCACTCTATGCCTGGGCCATCTCGTTTCGCAGGATACACGGGTTTAGCGTTTAGGGTTTCAAGTTTAGGGTTGAAGATTTAAAAGGATTGCAGTTCAGCTTGTATACCAGGATTTGGGGGCCGGACAGGGAACCAGTGGGTCTAAACCCTAAACCCTGAAACCCTAAACCCTATGCCCTACAATCCCCAAACCCTAAAACCCTAAACCCCAAAAGCCTACAAACCCTAAACACCAAAACACTGAACACTAAAACACCCGAAAAGCCATCAAAACCCTCAACCCCCAAAAACCACAAAACCTTAAATCCTACACCCTAAAAGTTACCCATCCTGATAGGACTTCATGTGCCTTGGAGCCCTCCTTAAGTCATAAGGGTTCAAGGACTCAAACAATGGGGTTTTAGGGCCCAAATACCATAGAATGAATGGTTTTTGGCACCTTAAACCCCCATTACTCGAGTGGACACTTAGGGAAATCATATTCGAGAACTTGACGCAACTTTGCAATGTATAGTGTCCAAAGGCTCCATGTAGGCGTATAGTATATACTGAAGGCTCAGGGCGGTTTCCATAAGGCCCAAGTACATACCATATGAGCTATAGTCTAGACTCCTAGTATTCCCCTGAATATCCCCTGTAGTAGTCCCGTATATAATCCCCCGTATATCACCCTTTAAGGAGTTTAGACTATAAACCCTACACCCTAAACTCTAAACTCTAAATCCGAAACCTATGCACGAAACCCTAAATCTTAAACACATGGACCCTTTGGGTGTTGGGCCGGGCTCTTCTTGTTCAAGGGTTTGGGGTTAGAGGCGAGGGTTTAGGGCTTAGGGTCCTAAACTCCCAAAAGTATGTAATGCAATGGCCTGTTGGGCTATCTTTTAAGGTTTCGGGCTATTGGTTTACCTACTTTCGGGGTCCTGGTACACAACAGCGTAGTGTTTGGACAACCCTCTTGACCGAGGGCACGGCAAAGGGATATAAACTTCTGATTCTCATGCTGATGGTGGGCTGGCTGGTGGCTGAAAGCCTGCTGTTCAGCTGGAGTAGACTATCATACGGCAATCTTAACCCTAACCCCCTAAACCCCCCCTTCAGGTCGAGGGGTGGTGCCTTGAGTTTCAGGCACTGCCCCGCACGCCAAGGGGATAATGATTGAGTCTGTGCAGCCTCAAGGGAATAAGCTGAGCTTTGCTTTTGCCCTTAGTCTCGCTGCCGGTGAGTGTTGTGCGTGCGTGCTTGGTACGACCACCCCATGCCCCATCTCTGAGACGGTGTCCCCAGCTTAGTAACCTCGTGAGGGATCACAGGGGGAAGAGCTTGTGTTCCCGAGAAGTGGGCTGTCTTGCCAAGTGCCCAAATCCAACCCAAGCT